TTTGCTCTGGAACCGTCCTTCCTGAGCCAAGACAAAAATGTGTGAGCCAGAGGCTAAAAAACTGTGAGCTAGCTCACACTAACTCAGCTTAGAGGGAACACTGCCTGGGAAATATCCCATTAAGCTTCTCTACAGGGCATTTTTTCTCCATGCAGTTGGCAACTCTACTCTCACCACCAAGGAAGTCCAGGGTCTCGACACAGAGGTGGGCAATGGAAAACCACCTCTGTTAGTCTCTTGCCTGCAGGGTCAAACATAAATCGGGTGCAACTTGACAACACTTTCCACCACCAGAGCCCTCAAGATGGTGAACAACAATTTAAAAGACATTAAAAGTAGGCGCTCATGCAAAATGTTGGGTTGCCAATTTTAGAACCGTCTCCAGGAGCTGTGCCTTTACCCACAGACTGATGTACATGTCGTGGCAGAAGAGGACGTTTCATCTGCATGCTGTGGACAGCTGTGCCTACTGTCCTCTGCAACTCAAGCTGCTATGAAAGGCATAAGGAACAGACCCAGCTTAGATTTAATTAGATCAGCTGACAAGCCTAATAACAAACACTTTTGTTGTTGTTCAGTCGCACAATCGAGTCCGACTCTTCACGACCCCATGGACCAGATCCCGCCGGGCCTTCCTGTCTTCCGCCGTCCTCTGAAGTTTGCTCAGTTTCATGTTCATTGCATCTATGACACTGTCTAACTAGTTTAGCAGTATACTGTGTCTGGAGTTGTCAGCTACCCTGGAGAGAAATGCCCTGTCCCTTTGTGTTTTTTGCTGTCAAGTCACAGCTGACTCATGGTGAATGGGTCTTCAAGGCAAGATATGTTCAGAGGTGGTTTGCCATTGCCTGCCTCCCTGTCACAACCTTGGAATTCCTTGGTGGTCACCCATCCAAATACTAGCCAGGACCGACCCTGCTTAGCTTCCGAGATCTGGCAGGATTGGGCTATCTAGGTAAGGACCCCTGTTCCTTTAATAGAGGTTTAATGTGTGGAAATGGGCATCTGGAGCTTTCATGACATATAGGTAAATCACATTGCTTGGTAAATCACATCACATTCAGCCTCTGCTATAAAGGGGCAGAACACTTTCCTACTAGGCCAGTGGGCAATGCTAATTGCGTCTTTTGCTTGGTGCTGGGCCACTATGGATCCCAGATTTATGCTAAGCAGGGATGGAGGCTGATTTCACACTGGGTGCATTTGTTAACTGTAGGCGAGGAATACGGTTAGGCAACAGAAATATGCTGTGATCAATCCTGCCCCTCTGCTCAGTTGCTGTTTAATAAGCTTTTGGACTAGTGATTGCTCACAGTGGGGGCAAAGCCTAAGAACTCATGAAGAGCAAGGGTCTCAATCTCATTTTTAATGAGGGCCGGATCTGACACAAATGTTACTTTATCAGGCTGAGCCATGTATTCCATAAAATGCAGTGCCAGGTGCAAGAGAGATAAACTTTATACAGGACACAGGCAAACTCAATTAACAATATTATTTTTCACTCCAAATACAAATAAAAGCAATTGATTCCTAGCAGTTAAAGCAATTGGTTTACTGAGGAACCCACAAAAGCCCCAATAAATCCTATGCAAAATGATGAGTTTTTCCCCGTTGCTGGGGTTGCCATAAGTTGGCTGCAACTTGATGGCACTTTACACATACGCAATGTCCATCTTACATATGGCATTTGTATGTTTCCCCACAGGGCAAACAGCATCTTGAGGGAAGGGGAGCAGTTTGCACTGGGAAAACAACTTACAATAAAGGATTTTTAAAAAAACCTCTAGGATTCATGGTCCCAAACTGAATCAGGATATGGGTCCCAAACTGAATCAGTCCAATATGAGAGCATTTTTTGGAAGAGGTGGATCTTCGTAACTTGCTCCCTGCAAAGAACTGCACTGTCCCACCTGCTTCCCTTGAAGCTGTGTTTTATACACAGGGTCTGGTGAAACAACTCTTCTGATTGGACCACCAGTGTGGAGGAAGCAGTGTTGAGTAATCCAAGACATGGCTCTGAGAGTGAATGTAAACAGTGACAAAGATAAACCAGGGATGCCACCAGGCCTGGAGAAAAATGTCCTGCCCCTTTAAAAGAGGCTGAATGTCTGGAAATGAGCGGCTGAAGCTTTTCATGGCATGGCGATAGATAACATCCCATCAAGCATCTGTTTAAGTGACAGGCCATTTTTCTCCAGGTATGTTGGCAACCTTAATATAGATAGACTACTGCTCCAGAAGGCTTCTTCTTAATGGGCGACGCCGTCCATGAACAAAACACCAAACTAACAGAAGGTGGATTTGCTTAAAGCATATATTACACAAAGCAATAAACATAACAAGGGAATGCTGAGCAAACAGTGCATTTAATTGCAAGGTAATGAGTAGACTGGCAGAAATGCTGTTCTCTAGCTTGTCTTCCAGACAGCCTTGTTATTTGCCCCTGTGGATTCTTCAATGAAAGCTACCAAGCTCTGACATTAGACACAATTTTGTTCCAACACACTCCTGTAGTTTTGAAGATACGTGTATGAATGGAAGCAGGATCTTGAGAACTCTGCCAAGGTCTGCAACTCCAAAGGCAAAATACAGATAACGTTGAGAGCTTTTTGTTGTGCTGAGTAATTCCCCCCCTTAAATCTTCTTTGTTGAAATCAATGGCTTAAAAAATGCTCAACTTGGGCTTTGTGTACTTTTTTACTACTTTTACAAATTCAAATGCCTCATTTTTTCTACAATTTGTTTTTGTCAAATTGGCTGCACACACAGAGGGAAACCAAAAGGGAAGGTTCAGGTGACAGCAGGTCCAGCAGCCGACTCATGCATCCCTTTCACTAGGAACACGAGCGGCCGTGCTGGATCAGCGTCTAGGCCACTATCCTGCATTGACATAAAATTACACATTTTGGGCCTGGGGTCCCTCCCTTATGCAACAGTCAGACATAAGTCATTCTCATTTCCCATGCATGTGGTTCTGGTTTTGGATTGGGACTGCAAGGATGCATCACAGAGGAGCTGTGGAAGCTTTTTGGCCCATTGGGGGAAATTATGTCTATCCCAGGGAACATACAGGTTTCCCCAACAAGCCAAATCCGGTCCTCAGTGACCGTTTCAGGTCAGGAAAACACCATGAAGGCAGAGACTGAAGCCCCTTTGCGTGCCTCCCACAGTCACACTCCAAGTTGTGCGTGGGAACTGAGGAAAATCTGCAACTCACATCTGACTGTTGCACAGAGGGAAGAAGACCCCAAGATGCAACCTGCATACTCCAAAATGCGTGAAGCAAAATGGCCAACCAAATGCATTCAAAGGACTACAAGCAGAGCTCAGGGGCCACAGACTGTGCTAAAGTAAGACTTGCAGTCATACATACACAAACCCCTTTTATATAGAAGCTGGACAGACATGTGAGTGATGGCCCTATCACAAATTAATTCCACCTTCAGAATAGGAGGAGGCACTGCAGAATTTATAATTTTCTGTCACAAGCTATAAAACGAGGCCCAAGCACAATTCTCTGAGGGAATACTGTAATTTCAGACACACACCCTTCCCATTTCCATCATATACGTACATACACCTCATAAGTCATGACAGAAATTCTTCTGTTTACTTTCTAAAATGTTATACGTAGCACACACAGATACCAGCCAGGCCCTGGTAAAAATGTACACACACACACCCAATTCTTGGGTCCTGGGCAGAAAAGGAAGGAAGGAGGCACGGGTCAGTATAGTCACAATCCTATTTACATGTAGGAGTAAAACATTATGAAACTCAATGGCTTGGATCCCAACTACATCTTCTGCCAATGGAAGGACATCCATCTATGGAAGCACAACTATCCCCTCTGTAGCCCAAAATGCCCCTGAAATGCTGCTCCTGGAGGATGGGAGACACCCAGGAATAGTTGGGGAGGGCTGGAGGTCTACCGTGGGAGACAACACTCCGCCGTCACACATGCATTAATTTTAGGCAGGACCCAACCCAATGGGGTTTACCTCTAAGTAAGCCAACATAAGATGTGATTATGCATGCAATAGATTTGCATGACCAAGGGATGGATGGTGGTGGAGTAGGGCTGGGGAATTGTGCAGGGTAGAGAAAGCCTTTCCCCTGATCATTAGAAGCCATATTTCACATACCCACACCTGAGGGCTAGAAACCCATCTCTTTCTGCCCTAGAAAGCCCAGTTCTGTAGTACACAAATGGGTGAAGCTGGGCAGATTTCTAGAATCTACACCAATAATATTTACCAGAATGAAGCTCTTCACAATACACATTACTACAAAGAAAGCTGAGCTAGATTGCTAAGACTGCAGAGTCATCTCAGAACTCGAAGCTTTGATGCTCTAGTTATGTACGCAGCAAGTACTAGATGAATCTTGTTCCATTTCACGTAGCCACAGAAGGATGATCTAGAAGAAGTGTTGAAAGATGTTACACACACAAGCAGGGC